TATTACTCCCCAAGTAAACTACTTTGAAGGTGATTAAATACTAAATTGATATGTGTTGCTGTTATGCATTTTGATCAGCCCTCGTATCTCTCTCTATCTCTCTATCTCACTCTGTCTGTCTGTCTCTCTCTATATATATATTATATCACCGTTATACATTTTGATCAGCCCTCGTATGTCTCTCTCTCTCTCTCTCTCTCTCTCTATATATATATATATATATATATATATATATATATATATATATATATATATGGGAGGATAAATGTGACCAGAAAACGTTGATTTCTATGTCCACATATCTATAAATAGACACACACACGCACGCACGCACACACACACACACACACACACACACACACACACATTATATATATATATATATATATATATATTATAAATTAACTGATTTAAAATATGGTTTTTTCGCTACACAATTCTAATCATGTTTCAAAAATGGAAGCTAAAAGCTTAGAATTTAATTTTGTAATTAAATTAAAGACATTAGTTCCATTTCATTCTCAAGCAAAAAAAACTATATTGTGTAGCGAAAAAACCATATTTTAAATCAGTTAATTTATAATATTAATGCTCTGTAAATTTACATTGAGCACTATTTTGTAAAAATAAAAATATCTATAAGAACACCGGATTATATATCTTACTATTCTTTCTTTTTATTTATATATACATATATATGTATGTATGTGTGTGTGTGTGTGTGTGTGTTTGTTTGTTTGTGTGTCTTTCTCCATTATTATATATTAGACAGTCTGATAGAAATATTTGTGGGCTTTTAATTGATCTGACAGTCCATACGGATATCCGCCTCCCGGATAATATCACCTGTATTGCTTTAAGATTCATGCCAGAATTGCTTGTAAGATTTCTTTTCATGACTCGCGCCACATGTTGCACGTGCTTTCAAGTGGAGACAACGACATAAGTGCTCCAGACAGATACCCAGTTGCGCATATTAAACTTTAAAGGTAAGATTCCTAGGAATATTCAATAAGTTATACTCTCTGCGGGCACTCACACGTATTTCTGATCATATAAGTTCGTCCTGAAACTCGCAGAACGAAAGGTAAGTTTAGCAGCTTCGAAGAAATGAATATGCAGTACGCACTTATTCATTGTTCTCTAGCCTGTGACTTCTTTTGCCCGAAGCTGTCGGATTTCTCAAGACCTTGGTATCTTCGTGATACCAAGGATTCGCATGAACTAATGCATTTAGTTATGGATTACACTGACTGGTGATAATATCCAAAGATTGATCAAAATACGAGGGGTGCTGAGAAGTTATCGGTCTAACCAAGAAATGGCTCTAAAATAAAATCTGATACTTGGTAATTTTATTTGGTTTTGGAAAGTTGGTTGTTCGGAGAATTTTTCCGCCCAATTCTTACCTTACTCTTAATGAGAGAGAAGACAAATTTCTATATATATATTATATATTTCTTACTATCACGACAGAGAAGACAAATTTCATTCGGCTTAGAGTAACGCTTAACGGGTTCGAATGAACTCAGAAAAAGTCGAAAAGACGACCCATCAAAATATGACGTCTTATATAAAACATTAACAGAGAATGAGAGGAAATATCCCGGAATAAAAGTAAGCCAATGTGAATCGTGCCAATTATTAGGATTGGATCATGTAAAAAATGTAAATTAATAAAAAACCAGATGCTATCCTAGAAAATTAAAATAATAATAATAATAAAAAAAAAATTTTTTCGGAATTTTGAAATTCAGACGGATCATGCTTTTAAAAACAGGAAACTGTACCTACTCATCGTAAACAAAGAAAAGATCCAATCTTTCCAGCAGACCACACACACACATAGCCACACACACACACACACGCACGCGTGCGCACGCGTACACACACACACACACAAACAAACACACACACACACACACACACACACACACACACACACACACACACACACAGAGTAAATGAGTTGGTAAATATCTGACACTTTCCAGAAAAAAATGAAGGGAAAAACGATGTGGAATAGGAAGGTTGAGATTGTACGCAAAATTAGATATATTTCTTGTGACAGCCTCGAAGATATTCGTAAAGATACAGACAGGAATGGACACCAGATCGTGTATGTTCCCGAACCCCGTTCTAGTCTCCCATAGAAGAAAGAGTGATCGGTTTGATTAGCATATACTTTGCTGTTCGAACCAGCATGTTTCTCATAGTCGGTATAATATCAAATCCTAAAATATTTTGATCTTTTTCGCAACGACAGTCTGGTTTCTCATACCTTTTATTTATATCGATGAAAAGTCGATCACATTATTCCCAATGAATCAAACCTACGTAATCGTGTTTCTAGTTTTATACTCGTCATGTCATTGTGCTAAATTCATAGATAACTGAGTATCTATCCATTCCGTTTTTTATAAGCTTATCCTGACTTGTTCTAATTTTAGTATATATATTCGTTCTGAAACTCGTAGAGTCGCGATGTGGTGTCATGAATGACGGCTCAGAATTTGAACTCGGGAAGCAGAGTTCATAATTCCAAACGTGTTCTTTATATTCACTTACACGCAAATACCATTGAGAAAGATATGAATTCATCTAATATCCCCCAAGTTAATGAGTTGAATAGCATGAGAGACTGGATCTTATAGCTTTGATTGACAAACAATCTACACCGGCATATCTTTGGCATGAATTGAATGTGACAATCACATAAGCATGTATCACGTATGACACTTAACGGACTGTTGATGATGATAGATCGTTTTAGCAATGATCAAAGTATTGAAGAAATATTAGAAGCATTATAAATTTCATTATTATTATTCATTTAGTTTACTTTGATTTTAATTGCAACGTAGACCGTCATTCCACAGAATTTAGTAAGCAAAGTTGATTGGAAATGGGATGAAAACAGCGTCTAGAATGGAAGCTAATTTTGAAAGTCCATTGTACTTCCATCGTGAATTTCGATACTTGTGACTCATTCACTTACTTTAAATATGTTGGACTAATTTTGACTTTATAAGAAATGCAAAATTTAGTAGCGCGGGACTTTCAAGTGTGGTTCACTTTGCTACATGTCACTCAATCTAGCAATCTTGGTTGAAGCTTTAATAACTGACACACACACACACACACACACACACACACACACACACACATATATATATATATATATATATATATATATATATATATATATATATATATATCTTTGGTGATGTAAGTAATATTTTAATAGTCCGTTTGCATCCGTTTATTATCACTTTCAAACTTAAATCTTTGTGGGTGTGTCTATGTCATTATTAATGTATGTGTGTCTTTATTAATGTATCTGTAAATGATTGCTTATATATGCCTTTCATTGTATATATATGTTGTCTGATTATATATATATATATATATATATATATATATATATATATATATATATATATATTCTTTTTTTTCCTGGACATCTATTTCCTGTTTCGTTCGTGTTTTTGCGTGTTTATATATCTACATATGTCTACGTATTTGTGTATTATAATCTGATGGTGTATGTATTGTCTTTTACAAGATTTCATCCTCCCCTGCAGCATATCACCACTTCAAATGTATCTAAGTCGTAACGATGTTTTACATCTCCATTAGATTAACGTTTACTTGGCGTTTCAATTAAAACAAAATAAATAATAAAATATATTATGTATTTTTTCCTCAGTTTTTCTTTAAATAATTTTATAATATTTAAAAATGAATACAGATTAAATTTAAAATTTAATATTGTTAATTTTTAAGTTTCATTTTTATAGTAAAATTTAATATTAATTAGTTAGAATGATTTCTATTTTAGTCTAACCTTAACATTAAGGCATTAACAATTATAATCAATGTTTGTTCTCAAGTTTTTTTGAATTCTCATATACTTGTATTTTGATTGGTCATTGTAGCTGAGGTAACTGCGTTTCCCCTATTGAGAGGTGTTTGGTTGATTTGAAACTTTTAAAACTCTTTATTCTACATTCAACACTATCACTTAATAAGATACAGAAGTGTTGAAACAAAATGGCTATTTTTGTGGTGATTTCATAACATATTTATGCTATAATTTTGGAATAATGGATATATATATATATATATATATATATATATTATGAAATGGACAAAGTCCGACAATTATTTTAAGGCATTTTTATGTTTAACATTCTTTTTATAGATACAACTATTTAAACAGAGCATTTACTTTAATATTTGTATCTATAAAAAGAATGTTAAGCATAAAATGTCTTAATATATATATATATATATATATATATATATATATATATATATATATATATATATATATATATATAGGTGCATATGTTACTAAACAAATTCAGAAAATTGCATACGCCTGCTATGCTGACCTCAGGGCAGCATATCGCAACATCAATAGAGACTTCATCTCATCCATTAAAAACTTAATGAAGATAATATGCCTTAATTTTTTTTTCAGTACACAGGCCAGTGAACGAATTAAATACTGTTCCAAATAAGAGGAGTGTCTACTCAAATACGGTTATCCACTAAAAATAAGGTTTGATGTAATAAGAATTAAAAAAAAATATTATTTAGCCATTGTTTTGTTTACGTAAACTGAGCAGATAGGCGTTTATTTTAAGAATCTTAAGATTGTAAGATTAGCATTAGAAATTTAGTTACGGGCGTTTGTGCTAGGTGTTTAATAAAATCTAAGAAAAGTAATATTTACACTATGTAACTGTCTTAAAAGATATTGAGCAGTAGTAAACAATGAAAGCAATGTACGCCGGCGGTTGGTTAAATTATATTTCAGCTGAATTGTTTATATATATCAAACACAATAGATGGTGAAATTAGCATAGAAAGAATACCTTGGATTTAACTAATTGATAGATGAAGAAGTATTAGATAGTGGGATATTTATAGACTTTACAAAATACGAGGGATATCTGTATAGGTAAGTGTAAATCGATAGGAATTAAAATATT